GGTGGTGAGGCAGGATTCTCTTGCTTGGATCTGGGTCACAGTCCTGGAGAAGGAGCATTGGCATGACAGAGCTTGTGGTGGTGGTGGAGAGGGAATCCTTCTCACAGTTCAAAGGGAGAAAAGAGTGCTTGTGGTCACTCACAGACCACAGCACAGGCCAGGAAAGGAGTAAACACCTCTCCTTTGATCATACCACCTTGGAAAAACTGAAAATTTACAGGTCCCTAGAAGTACCTCTGAAAACAGCTGCACAAAACCCCTGAAATTTGGGACAATACATCCTCCACATTGGAAGCAGAGCCCTACCTTAACAAAGAGTTTAAAAGTCAAGTAATTGGCTGGGAACATGAGCAAATAGCGCAAAAAAAAACCTTCGGACTATAGAATCTTACTCTGGTGACAAAGAAGATCAAAACATACAACCAGAAGAAGACAACAAAGTCAAAGCTCCTACATCCAAAGCCTCCAAGAAAAATATGAATTGGTCCCAGGCTGTGGAAGAGCTCAAAAAGAATTTTGAGAAGAGAAGTAGAGGAAAAATTGGGAAGAGAAATGAGAGTGATGCAAGAAAATCATGAAAAACAAGTCAACAGCTTGCTAAAAGAGACCCAAAAAAATACTGAAGAAAATAACGCCTTAAAAAATAGACTAACCCAAATGGTAAAAGAGGTCCAAAAAGCCAATGAGGAGAAGAATACCTTAAAAAGCAGAATTGGCCAAATGGAAAAGGAGGTCCAAAAGCTCACTGAAGAAAATAATTCCTTAAAAATTAAAATGGAGCAAATGGAAGCTAATGACTCTATGAGAAATCAAGAAATTATAAAACAAAACCAAAAGAATGAAAAACTAGAAGACAATGTGAAATATCTCATTGGAAAAAAAAACTGACTTGGAAAATAGATTCAGGAGAGATAACTTAAAAATTATCAGACTACCTGAAAGCCATGATCAAAAAAAGAGCCTAAACATCATCTTTCAAGAAATTATTAAGGAAAACTACCCTGATATTCTTGAACCAGAGAGTAAAACAGAAATTAAAAGGATACACCAATCACCTCCTGAAAAAGATCCCAAAAGGAAAATTCCCAGGAATATTATAGCCAAATTCCAGAGTTCCCAGGTCAAGGAGAAAATATTGCAAGCAGCAGAAAGAAACAATTCAAGTACTGTAGAAACACAATCAGGATAACATAAGATTTAGCAGCTTCCACATTAAGGGATTACAGGGCATGAAATATGATATTCAGGAGGTCAAAGGAAGTAGGATTAAAACCAAGAATTACCTACCCAGCAAAACTGAGTGTAATCAAGGGGGGGGGGGGGAATTGATATTCAATGATGTAAAGGAATTTAATGCATTCTTGAGAAGCCAGAGCTAAATAGAAAAACTGACTTTCAAATACAAGACTCAAGGAGCCGCTAGGTGGCACAGCGGATAGAGCACCAGCTCTGAAATCAGGAGGACTTGAGTTCAAATCCAGCCTCAGACTAAACACCTGACACTTACTAGCTGTGTGACCCTGGGCAAGTCACTTAACCCCAAATGCCTAAAAATTTAAAAATAAAAAAAATTTTTTTTTTAAATCAAATACAAGACTCAAGAGAAGCATGAAAAGGTAAACAGGAAAGAGAAAGGGAAGAAAGATTATACATGTGTAGTCATGCAAAACACTTCCATACTAGTCATGTTGTGAAAAACTAACTATATTTCCCTTCATCCTATCCCACCCCCCATTTAGTCTATTCTCTCTTTTGACCCTGTCCCTCTTCAGAAATGTTTGCTTCTGATTATCCCCTCCCTCAATCTTTCCTCCCCTCTATCATCCCCTTGCTCTCTTATTCCTTTCCCCTCTATTTTCCTGTGGGGTAAGATAGATTTCTATACCCAATTGAGTATGTATGTTATTCCCTCCTTAAGCCAAATCTAATGAGAGTAAGATTCACTCTTTCCCTCTCACCTCCTCCCACTTCTCCACTTTAAAAGCTTTTTCTTGTCTGTTTTATGTGAGATAATTTACCCCATTCTATCTCTCCCTTTCTCTTTCTTCCAGGAAAGAGGGTGGGGGAAAGGGAGAGATGGGGAAGTGAATGTTGAAAACTAAATATAAATAAATAAGAAAAGAAAACCCCAAAAGGGGTCACAAAGAGTGAGACACAAATTAATCAAATGAACAACAACTGTAACTAGTAAGTGTTGCAATGGAGCAAAGTTTGGCTGGGTACTCCTTGTTCTCCCTCCTGTCACAGGAATTTTGGGGAGTGGCTAATGATTTCTCCGAGACCACACCTTTTTCTGCCTACTAGGCAACCCTGTGGACTAGATCTTCCCTCTGGTCCACACCTCAGTCCTACCTCTTCGTGTTAGAGGCTGAGAATTTGCCTAAGGCATCAGAAGTCTGAGTAGCCCACAGAGTCCCTGTGGATCCTTTTCTCTAGGGTCTTAAGGAGTTTATAAAGGCTATTAATACACATCGTCATAAAATCACCAAATTCTCTCACTTTAGCTCTGAAGCCCTCAGATCAGAAACTAATTCTGACCCCCAGGACAGGCCTCTAGCCCCCTGACCTATCCTCTTAATGCTGTGAACTCCCCAGCTAATCACAAGCCTTCTCCTCTTCCCCTCTTTTCCCAGCACAGTTCAGACAAATATGCAATACAGAGTATTCTTGGATTTTATATAAATCCTTATTCAAAGGATTCATGGATTTTATATAAAACAAAATCAATATAAAGAAACAGCTTAAAGAAATAGCCAGAAAAGTTATATGGAAATGTCTCTGAGCAAATAGGCCCCTGAAAGAGCACCTGAGGAGAGTAAAAACTGTCTTCAAGCCAGTCCTTTGCTAACCTAGCAGAGGGTGGGCCCTACAGCCAGCCTTTTATACTCTGTGGTTGTTCAACAATTTCAGTCATGTCTGATTCTTTGTGACCTCATTTGGGTTTTCTGGGCAAAAATGCAGGAGTGGTTTGCCATTTCCTTCTCCAGCTCATTTTACAGATAAGGAAACTGAGACAAACAGAATTAAGTGACTTGCCTAGGGTCACACAGCTAGGAAGTATCTGAGGCTGAATTCGAACTCAGGTCTTCCTGATTCCTGGCCCCGAACTCTATCCACTGGACTACCTAGCTGCTACACTTAGTCCCTTCCTATTTCCAAAGCTCACATTGCAAGACACCTACACAGATCCTGACCCCAAGCCCTGCTGCTATTTTCCCATTTCTCCACTCTGCTCCATCTCTGTCCTGTGGGTAGGTGGGCTGGCCGGCCCATTCTTTCTTCCATCTGTTCCCTCTGCTCTGCTGCAGAACAATTCAAAAGCTTCTGGTCCAGTGGAACTTTGGTGGCTAGACCCAAACCTTCAAACAGACCAGTCTCTCTCAGAACAGAGAGGGAATATTGTCACTTCAAACTACAAATCCCAGGATACCTGGCTAAGTTTTTAACTAAAAATAATAATACTAACATTTGTATAGGTACCAGGCACTGTGTTAAGCCCTTTACAAATATTATCTCACTTGATCACGACGACAATATCCCTGGAGGTAGGTGCCATTACTATCCCTATTTCACAGATGAGAAAACTGAGGCAGACAGCAGTTAAGTAATTTCCCCAGGGTCATACAGCCAGATTTGAACTCAGGTCTTCCTGACTCCAGGCTTGGTTTTCTATCCACTGTGCTACCTAGCTAGATCTTTATTTACCCTGCCTATGGGGAAATCAGCCCAAGACCTATCCAAACAGAAATAAGTCTGCCCCTCCGTGGATACCCTGCTACTTAACAGTTAAGGAGGAGGGGGGAAGGAGGATGGAATGGGATGAGAGAACTGAGAAGCCTACTTCCAGAAAGGCCTGATGACCTATAATGGAAATGCCTTGCTCCCTGATTTGAAGTATCCACATATATTCTATAACTGGTTCCAGTCTGCTAAAATCTTGATAAAGACAGGGCTTATTCATTGGCAATGTAGCCAGAATTGATATTGCATTCCAAGTGCACACACCAGCCTAGTCCCTGGGCTGTAGCTCCCTGCGGCTTGCCTGTTATTCACGAAGGGTGAGGAACCACTGAGGCTTCTGAGGGGAGCAGCCTGGGCCCTCTCTCCCCTGGAGTCAACAGGAAGTCAAGGAGGCAAGTCCATGCTGTATCTATCATCCTTTCCTGCTTTTAGCCAAAGGAAGAGTAGCAATAGCTAAGACCTTGTGAATTTCAAAAGAGCGGTACAGCAAACTACTAGAGGTCCAAGAGTCGGAGGAACAAAGCACCAAAGAACCTGCCCGACTAAGCCTGTCAGTAGCTGAAAGCAGACTCATCTAGTGGCTGTACCACAGCTGAAAGTAAACTTTCCATGTTAATTAAGTCCATGCTGCATTAAGTCTGAGCCCACACTCCCCAGGACCTAAGGTGGCAGAGCAGATGGTGTGCTCCCACATATTGGGGGAAAAATGTTTCTGCTTCTGTTCTTGCTTTATCTGAACAAGGATATCTAAATATTCTTCTGTAAAAGCTAATTGACGTTAATTAGTTAAATGAAACCAGGTCTTAACCACTAGCAGTAACCAGTGGAGAGAACACAATAGAATGGGGGCCTCCAGCAGACAGCGTTAAAGAAAGTTTTTTCTGACCCTTCAGGAGTGTCCCAAGAACCCTGGGGGGAGCTGTAGGTAGCTCTATTCTGGGAGAGTGAGTCCAGAGTCTTGCTACATAAGGACAGTAGTTTAGGATTCAGTGACAAGCCACAGGATAGAGATTTTTTAGTAAGCAAGCATGAGCTTCTGGCATTTGTCAAAATACACCACAAAAATCAGGTTCTGTGTCTTACATCAAGTTCAATAAATGAAGAGTTGATAACAAGAACCCCTAAATAATGAAATCCTAAGAACCACCACCTTTAGAATAAAATAATGAGAATAACAAAAACATTTCAATAAGATCCCACTCAAGTGAGCAGGTTCATTAATATTTTTAAAAATCCATTTAACAAGAATTTCTCTTTACCTGCATACAAGCATCTTGACCCCTGATTGCAGCAATGTGAGCTGCTGTCCAGCCCCCTGGAGTTACATTTGTAATGTCAGCCCCATGCCACAGCAACCAATGAAGACACTAAATTAAAGAGAATGAAAAGGTTAAAATGCAATTATATCACACAGATTATTCTAATGGACCTCAGTAACAACATATCAAAGATTCACCACTCGGTACTGTTTTATGGATATGAATCCTCATTATCTGATTCACTAAATCTTTTATGCTGCCCCCAAACCCTTGATTTTCATGTCATTTCAAAATTTCAAAAGATGTGTGATTTCATCTGTATGGGTATTCCTCTATAAGAGAGATTGCAACCTTTTACACCTTAGCAAACTGTCTTCATGTGCTAAAATGGCCAAAAATACTCATTTTGTTGTGGCCAACCCTCTAGTAATAAACCTCTCTGAGTTTAGCTAAGATGACAGATGACAGACACAGTTAGCTTACTTAGTCTTACTAGTAAGACTTTCCAACTCACAGGGCCTACCAGAGTGTGCATTCCACTGATATAACTTTCCAGAAAGTTGTCCTCCACACCCCAATGAGGAAATGAAGAAGTTTAACAGAGACCACATTTCAACTCCACAAGCTTATTCAAACACAGTAAATGTATCACTTGTAGATTTTATTTAGTTTCATATAAAATTATATTACTTGATTGCTCTAAATCAGTGACATCAAACTCAAATAGAAAAGGGCCACTAACCTGAATAAGGATCCCTGTAGGCTGCATATTGACTTAGAAAACCACAGATAAACATTTGTTTTATTATATTTTTATTTATTTTGCTTAATATTTCCAAATTATATTTTAATCTGGGTCAGCTTCAATTGGAGTATTATGGGCTAAGCAGTTATGTAACACTTCAACTCTAAATAACGGTCACTTATTTTTATAATGATAGACTATGCATTCGTAGTCACCACACTTGCTATCTCTAGTTTGTACATTTAAAAGTGCTGCTGGAACTAGGAGAAAAATGTATACAAATAACTTGAAATACTTAAGAATTCTGATCAACACAATGACCAACATAAGGATTTCATGATAAAGCATGCTGCCCATCTCCAGACAGAGATGATTGACTCAGGGTATAAACTGAGACGTATTTTTTTTTGGACATGGCCAATGTAAGAATGTAAGTTAGATTGTACGTATTTGCTAAAAGTCTTACCCTAAATACCCCAGAATGTGATTGCTTCCACTGAGGATCAGGGTGCCAGCCAGCTTTACCAACTGAAACTGAGGAGGTTGAAAGAGATCAAATAAAAACCTGATGAGTCATTGGAGCAATGACTCCTGAGAGTGTGGTCTAACGAAGCCAATGCAGAAACTTTTTCTACAACAGAGTTCCAGGGGCTTGAGGAGCTCTCTGAAGACTTACTGTGACAAAGGCATCTAAATCAATTAAAGGCTCCAGACCAGAACTTCCCTTTGTCCCTTTTTAGGTGACTAAACATGAATTCCTATTGCAGCTGACTCCCCATAGGGATCTGCCAGCAGGGAATAAAGTTCCTAAAGGAAATAAGTTTGATAGATTTGATCTATGCAACACCTCACCACCAAGGTTTACACACCCTATGATCAGCCTAATTCAGGAGCAATTAAATCCAGCCTTCTGGGTGAACCCACACCTGAATGGCACTAGGTTTTAGCTCTGAGTCTTCCTTAACACACACTCAAACAGAAATAGACAGATCAACTGGTGAAATTTGAATAGAAAATTGGGATAGCAGTTGCCATCAGGGAAAATATTGATGTGAGTGAAAATAGGTGATCCAAGGATGGTGGGATCCCTCCCAGTGGGAATGACATCTTCTTCTACATGGAGCTTTGAATTTGGCTTCTGAAAAATGGAGTTGAAAAAGCAATTGATCAGCAGCCTATGGGGATGTTAATAAAACTGTTTCATGATATCTGGCACAGGGACAGGCAAAGATTGTGAATTATTATTTATCATTATATTGTTTGGGAAAATTATCATCATACTGTTTAAATCCAACTTTTTACGATTAGAGATTGTTTAAACCCAGAATGATGTCCCAACCTCACTAATTCTCTAGGAATGCTGAAGATAGCTACAAGGAATTTTGGGTTCCCCCAGGTCCTAGATCCACCCAAAACTTTTTTTTTTTAAGGCAATTGGGGTTAAGTGATTTGCCCAGGGTCACACAGCTAGTTAAGTGTCAAGTGTTGGGTCTGAGGTCAAATTTGAACTCAGGTCCTCCTGACTTCAGGGCCAGTGCTCCATCCACTGAGCCAACTAGCTGCCCCTACCTAAAACATTCTTGTTTTGGGTCTCCACACCCAGTCTTGTTCTGGGTCCAACCAAGCTTATGTTCTGGCTTTGCCTAAATTTTGTTGAATATTTACATTTACTCATATCCACTTCAATCTACCTTGCTTTCAAGCTTCTCTCTTGGCAAAATTGCTTAACTGCATACATGGGATTAGTATGTGGGTACCCTTGTCTAAATTCTATAACAATGTAGACCTTCCAGAGCATGGACAAGAGGGAGCCACACCTCCTTTCCAGCCTGTTCTCCTCTACCAAATGACTTAATAAATTTCTTTCTAAAATTATTTCAGATTTTGGGGTTTGTTCTCATGACCAAAAAGACCCTTCAGTCACATTCATGTTTAAGGCATCCCCTAAGGTTCCCTGTCCACTTGGTAGTTCTGAGCCACTCACGCCTTTGTAGCCTAACTTCAGGGACTTTGGGGAAGACTCCATCTAGGTCAATGTCAAAGCCAACGTTCCACCAAGGCTTAGATCATCCTAGCTACTGAACTTCAAGGGGACTAGAAGCCATATGCCTGAGCTGTGTGTGGGAGGGGAAAGGGAACCCCAAGGATACAAAGGCTATTGGACAGAGTAGCCAAATTGCTCTAATACCAGGGGACTACACATGGACACAAAGAACCCTGATTTTCAGAAGGAGATTCAGGGAGATCACTTTGCTCAAGTGGAAGTGAAAGGCATTATGTGTAGGTCACAGTGGTGGCTAATCAGAGAGTGTACTGTGGAAATGGACATTACGAGCTTGTGGAGGAGAGTACCAGTATGAGTCCTTTCAGGATACTCTATGCTGGTCACTATGAGTAGGGTCAAATGGAAACCCTTGAAGTTACCTGATCCATCTCATATAGTCACAATCAAACAATATGAGGTCTCTGGAGGGAATAGGAGAATGGAAGATACTTCCTCTTTAATGATGGAGATGAAAGAGGTCATACCAACTCCCCTTATAACTTCACATGGCAACAATAAAGGCAGATGGTACCTGGCAGTGTATTACAAGGGAGCTGAACAAATTCATCATGCCCATCACCACAGCTGTTCCTGACCTCATCTTTGTGGTGGGCTAGGTATCGCAGGCCTACAGGTGAGTGGTATGGGTTTACCAACTTTGTCAATGCTTTTTTTCTCTATTTCTGTGACTAAGACTAGTCAAGACCAATTCACTTTCACCTAGAAAGGAATTCAGTAAACCCTCCCTGTACTTCCCCAGAGCTACTTAAAGTCAACCTCATATTGCCACTGTCCTGTGGGCAGAGATCTGAAAGAGACTTTATTTCTTGAAGGCCTTGAGGTACACCACTACAATGACAATGTAATGTTGACCCAGTCTGATGAGGCCACAGTAGCTTATTTGGATTGGATAAAGGTTTATGAAGGACAAGGGGGAAGAAATTAACCCCAGAAAATCCAAGGTCCTCAGTCAAGTTTTGGGAAAATATAGTGGATAGGAAGAACCCAGATAATTCCAGACAGAGTTCTAATTTACTGAAAAAGGCTTCCTCAAAATCTAAAAAGCCTAGAAGCTTAATGGACTTTCTAATTCTGAACAATGCACACTGTCTCCACTCGCATATCTTGATGGCCCCCATTTAAAAAGTCACCCAGAGACCTGAATCCAGTTCTTCACTGTTTCAAGGCCAGATCTCTATTCATTGTCATAAAATACACATTCAAAATTACAATTAACCCACAGGTTCTCCATATATAGAGAGATAAAACAATTGGACATGTTTATACATACCACTACTGTGCTAATAATACATTTATGTACTTGTGTTTGTAATGTAATATAATGTAAATGTGCAGAAAAAATTTAATTTCCTCTTTCTTTGTATATAAAGCATGGTTTCAAAATTGACCTTCTTTCTTCACCAATTAAAATTTTTAAAATGTAACTTCAAAAAAAAAAAAAAAGTCACCCAGAGTCTACCTGTTTTGAGTGGGGTCTTGAACAGGTAAAGCCTTTAAAGACCTAAAGTAGGCTACCCAGTAGTATATCTCACTGATTGCTTACACCTCTGTGGTGCATATGTTTTTGGAGGTCTCTATCCACAAAGATCAGGAAAAACAGAGCTTTTGACAGGCTTCTAAGGGTAGCCAGACCAAGTAAACATCAGGTTTCTGGAACCACAAGCTTCCAAAAGCAGTCATTCACTATATCATTTCTGAAATTCACTTGCTTTCTTGCTCCTGGGCTGTAATTGCTACTGAGCAGATGACACGAGGTCATTCCATCACCCTTCACCCAGCATTGTGCATCATGAGCGTGGTGAGCAACATGAACCCTCTAAAAAGATAGGGAAGGCACAAAAGGCTCTTACTGTTAGGTGGAAATGGTACATTTAAGATCAAGTCTGTCTCGGCCCCTTGAATACTAATGTCCTTCACAAACATGGTGCAATTCTTCCAGAGGCTGTGTCTAAGCCCCAAACACCCTGCCTTCTCTGCTGGCCCAATAGACCCTGCCTATGAGGACCAATCTCCTGAAGAATAACATTTTGATGCCACTAGGTGGTGTAGTAGACAGAGCCTGGTGTCAGGAAGACCTGAGTTCATGTCTGGTTTAATACTATTATTAGCTAGCTGCATGATCCTGGGCAAGTCATTTACCCTCTGTTTGTCTCCGTTTCCTCAACTTATAAGATGAGGATAATAATAGCACCTACATCATAAGGTTGGTATGGGGATCAAATGAGATAAAGATGAAGTGCATAGCATAGTGCCTAGTACATAGTGGCGCTATATAAATGCTCATTCCCTCCCCCTCTCTTCTCCTTTCTACCTGGTTAGCTGACAGTTCTACTCATTACAAGAGTTACACAAAATTGGACTTCAACACCAAATAATTTGATAACAGAGACTACTCTGAGGGATGTGGGTCCTGGTAATTCCTCCCAGAAGGCTGAGCTGCAGGCTGCAGAGTTGGCATGTGAGAGGGCCTTGAACTAATTAATTAATTAATGATTTATTAAATACTAACTATATGAAAAGCCCTGTGCTGGGAATACAAATAGCAAAGTCAGATGGTCCCTCTCTCAGGGAGCTCACATTCTAATAAGGGAGACAACACATGGAAGGTTTCAGAAAGAAATCAGATGAAGTCCCATGGACCTTAAGGTACAGCAGCAAAGCAGATGGTAATGCCTCTCCTTTAATGTCATTTCCACAAATAAAATCATATCAGTTTCTGATTTTGAACCATTTGAAAGTGCCAAGGGACAGCTAGGTGGTGCAGTAGACAGAACTCCAGCCTTGGAGTCAAGAGGACCTGAGTTCAAATCCAGCCTCAGACACTTGACACTTACTGTGTGACCCTGGGCAAGTCACTTAACCCTGATTCCCTCACCAAAAAGAAAAAAAAAAAAGAAACAGTGTCAAGGACTTGGGATAAGAATGTTCCTATTTGTATCTTCAGTGGCTGTGGCTGTAGCACCTCCAGAGCAGGTCACATCTCCACAGGGGTTACCATCCAGGATAATGACTGCAGACAGTGGGCTTGAAGAACAGGCTCTTGGCCTCAGAGTATGGCCTAACTCCATCAGGATCTGAGGAGAGATGGTGGTGAAGGTGGTGGTGGTGATTTGACTGGCCTGGTACCTACAGCGTCCTGTCTCTCCATCAGGGTGCCTTGCTGCTTCAGCCAGGCTGGCTTGCCTTGAGGGATGGTGCAGATAAAATCTCTATCTATACTGATTCCTGGACAGTGGTCACGTGTGTGGCCAAGTGGGTAGGAAACTAGAAAGAACAGAACTGGACAACCAAAAGATCTTCCCCCGGTTAAGGCTGCCCCTGGGGAAGCAAGCCCTCACAGGATAGATCCTTTTTCCTTATGGGCCTCCTGCCCCAAAGACCTGAGGAAGAGCCACAAGTAGACCCACGACACCCCATCTGTTGGGTTTCCCACCCCTTTCACCTCAGACAGCAGACACTGCTAGATGCTGGAATGGCCTTCTCAAACAACAGCTTTACCACTCCACCCCTAACTATCATGGTTAGTTGTCCCACCTCCCAGAAGCCACGCCCCCAACAAATTAACATTACCCCAGAAAGAAGGAGGGCTCTCCATTTCAGTGATTTTTTGGTTACAACCTCCAGGATAACTTGTTTGATAAGGACATACTCCACCTGATCTTTTCAGGTCCTTCCTCGTTCCACTCCCTGAATGGAGTCACCTGGACCTCAATGACCCTGCTGCCTCAGTGGGTCCATACACTCTGGGAGAACAGCTCAGTTCCCTCCAGTTGACATGTCTCTTTTTTCAGGATATGGTTTGAACCACTCCTTCCCATAGAGGCTTTGGTACACCATAAGATGGAATTTTTGGGAGGTGCCCTACTTTCTAATGACATGAGGGAGGTGAAAATCTATGCCTACTAATGACTACTGTGAAATTATACAGAAGAAAGGATATCCCTAAGACAACATGAAGGTAATCCTGAGTCCCTGAAGAAGATAAGAGACAGTCCTTACCCAGGCCCTGCAGAAAAAAGGGAAATCACTTCAGTAGAGGCTTCTAAAGGGGAAAAGATTTGGAATCATCCCCCTGATGGGGTTCCTGTGGCCAAGGAATACTGAGTGGATGACTGTATAGGAAAAGTGTTGGTATGAACTTAGGTCCTGGGACAGGTTACATACAAGAAGCTTATGATACCTTATCCACTTTACTACAGATGATCCAGATTTATGACAAAGAATCTATGACTGTGCCTAAGATGTCATCATTTGTGCAGTGTCCCTGATGTCCCTGGGGCTTCTCTGGCCCCAACATGAATCAAGAGACCAACTGTGAACTGAAAAGTTTTGGCATCACTCACCACATGGACCAGATTACTGAGATCTGATATTTGGTCCTTCCAAAGTGGGGAAGAAAAGCCTAGATTTTCTGGCTTTTGTTTTCCACTATATTTTTCTTCTTTTTCTTTATGGTGATTTCCTCAAGGAGAGAAGCTAATCATTTTTTTTTCTTTTTCCTTTTCTCTTAGCACTGCCTATGCCAGGACTGTCCAATAAAAGTTAAATTGAAATGATAGAATCCTTAGGACCTTGCCACTATGGGATGGTATGTAACTGATACTTATACATACTAGAATTCTCACCTCCCCCCACCCCCAACAAGAGTTAGGCTTATTTTTTTCCTAAAAGACAACAAAGCTGAACTGAATAGTCCAGGCTTGATTAGTCCAGGATTGAACTAACCTTTACAGAAGCTTCTTGAGAGCCAAGATGTGGAGATGAGGAGGGAGAATATTCCCTGAATGGAGGACTGCCAGTGAAAACGCCCAGAGTGTCTTGTTCATGAAACAACCTGAAGCCTCGTATCGTTGAGTCCAAGAGTAAATAAGTGGTGGGGTATTAGGTGGAAAAGACTGGCAGAGTACTACTTAATTGCCAAAATAAATCTTCAAAGTCCAAAACTGTTAGTCAACTATTTTTCCATTTTATTAAAAAGTATAATTTTATGTGAGTTAGTTTATAAATCTTAGGCAAGAAGCAGTATGACACAATGGATAGAGAGCTGACCTTGGAGTCAGAAGACCTGGGTTCAAGGTCTTCATGTTTCTGACACTCACTAGCTGTATGAGTTTGAGTAAATGACTTAAGCTTTCAGAGCTCCCAAGCTAGTCTTTCTGAGGCTAAGTTTCCAAGCAGTTGCTGATCTGAATTGGTAGAAGGGGTTCCCTCACCATGAATTCCTTTAAAGCAGTCAAATTACACGACCAGACCAAAAAAAAACCTTAAAGTACTTTAAGCTGTCTTTTCTTTTAGAACATATGCTAGCTCAGAAGAGCCAGAAGAGATCATTAATATTAAATAACGTTAAATATGAAAAATGAAGTATTTTATGGATAACAAGGGAAAAAATAAGCAGAAGGCCAAGGAGATCAAAATCAAAGGCAGGCCAAATTATCCTATTTTTACCTAATTCAGATGCAAATACTTATTTTAAACTTTGTAAACTGCGAATATTTAGGTCATTTATTTGACATTTCAATGCTCTACGCAGCTATCCCAAGACTATAAACTGCAAGCAGGATACAGATCTGCTGGTAAAAAGAAGCTGTTGTTTTTTTTCCAACATTTATTTTTATAAGATTTTTTTTGAGTTCCAAATTTTTTTCTCCTTCTCCCTATCCCCACGACGGCAAGCAATCTGATATAGACTATACATGTATGATCATATTAAACATATTTCCATATTAGTCATGTTGTGAAAGAAGAATCAGAACAAAAGGGAAAAACCATGAGAAAGAAAAAGCAGAAAAACAAAAAATGATAAAACAGTAATGCTTCAGTCTGCATTCAGACTCCATAGTTCTTTTTCGTCATAGTTAATTTTCCATCAGGAGTTAAAAAGAAGTTTCTTATACCAATGAAATCACAGGTCCAGTCCAAAAAAATAATTTCAACTGAACACATGATGTTACTAAAATTCCATAATTAGATCATTTACTTTTAATAAGTTCAAGAATTTTTAAAGCTTCTTACCTCCAAACTTCCAAAATGTGCTGCCCAATGTAAAGGGGTAAATTTATGGAGGACATCAACTTCATTAATGTTGATTCCACTCTCTACAATTTCCTCTAGCTGTTTCACATCACCAGCTTTCACTGCATCATGTATACTAACAAAGTGCACCTTCTTCCTAACATCTGAAATATCATGAAGTTTAAAAGATTATAGAGTATTATAGTTTACAGAATACATCAATGATTTAAATGTACAGATGGAAAAAAAAACTGTGCAAAATTACTTGTTTTTTAAATCACTGTCTACAAAAATTAACCTATTATAGGATGAGAATTACTGAAATACATTTCACTTTTTGGTTGGATGTAAATGATTTCATCAGTGTAGGGAACTCTGTGGTGTGGCAATTCCCTCTACTAATGAAAATTGGCAACTATTCTATCTTAGAGAATTGCTCAGAGTACAGAAAAGGGCTCGGGATCACACAGCTGGCAGGATTTGATCCCAAGTTTTCCTAACTCCAAGGTTGGCTTTGTATCTACTATGCTATGCGATCTCCTACTATTTCATTAATGATACCAAAATTGCAAGTAGGGGCAACTAGGTGGTGCAATGGATAGAGCACCTCCTGAAGTCAGGAGGACCTGAGTTCAAATCTGACCTCAGAACCAACACTTGACACTAGCTATGTGACCCTGGGCAAGTCACTTAACCCCAATTGCCTAAAAAAAAAAAAATGGCAAATAGCTAGAATCTGATGCAAGCACTTAAGATGAATTTTATTTAAATTTTGCTACATCAAGGGGAGGCTGATGTACCTGTCATAAGGAGGCAGGATAACTACTTAAAAGTCAGGAATGTTGTACATAGGATTCGTGTTTTGGGTAAGAGTTAGATTAGATGATGTCCTAAGCTGGGCTTATATGATTCTGTAAGGTTTACAGGCTTTACATAGCTGACCTCATCTGATCCTCATAATTACCCTATGAGGTGGTAGGTATTACAGTAATTATTTTCCCTACTTTACCAATAAGTAAACTAATACTCAGCGAGGTAAAAGGACTTGCCCAGGCTCCCAGAGCTTCTAAGTATCAGAGGAAAGATCTGAACCCCTGACTCTGACATGTATATACTCTTTGATCTAGTGACACTAGCTTCCTGGCTATTTCATGAACAAGACACTCATCTCTCAGCTCTGGATATTTTCTCTAGTTGTTGCCATGCCTGAAATGTTCTCCGTCCTCCACCTCTGGTTTCCTTTAAGTTCCAATTAAAATGACACCTTCTACAGGCAGCCTTCCCCAACCCTTTTAATTCCTGTGCCTTCCCTCTTTCAATGATCTCCTATTTATAGCTTGCTTTGTATATTTTTGTTTGCATATTATCTCCCCTATTAGATCATAAGTTCCTCGAGGGCAGAGACTATCTTTTGTACCCTTCTGTATTCCCTAGCATTTAGCACACTGCATGGCACACAGTAGGTACTTAATGTTTACTGAATGAATGAATGAATGAATCACTCCTAACTCCAATTTCAGTGCTTTTTAAGCTTTAAGTGCTCCCAAGCTACTTGTTCTGAGAGTATGGAAGAATAAGAGGATAATATCAAATTATAGTAGTATGTCTATAAATTACCATTCATATTTTCATATTGTATCATCCAATATACCATATACCAACTGTGTGGTATATCTCATTGCAAATTATTTCAAACTGCTTTGTGCACCAGACGAACTCACTGTAGGGGTATCTAAATAGCAACAGAATGATGAGAAGTCACTGAAAAGAAAATACTCGTTAAGGATGTCAAGCTAGGCAAAGAAGAAGACAACAGATATTTATGAAGTATCTTCTAAGTGATCTTTCATTATACTAGATGTCAGGTTACAAGAAAAATGTTAAAAAAACACAGTCACTGTCCTCAAAGAGCTTAAAATCTTTTGGGGAAGACAAAAGCTATACCATTAATTTGTTACTTGGCAGAGTCAACTTTGTAATTTAGTTAATTTATGCCCATATCTTTCCTATGGGGCAGCTGGGTGACTCGGTGGACAGAGTACTGAGTCTCAATTTCAGGAAGACTAATCTTTCTGAGTTCAAATATGGCTTCAGACATTTCCAAGCTGTGTGACCCTGGGCAAATCACTTTAACCCCATTTGCCTCAGTTCTTCATCTGTAAAATGAGCTGGAGACAGAAATGCCAAACTACTCCAGCATCTTTGCCATGAAGAGCTGTGCATGACTGAACGACAATACCTGCCTACCAAACTTCATTCTAGGTTCCTTGAGAACTTTGTATTTCTGGGATAATGAAGGAAATGCTTATTTAACACACTGGTCCAGAAGTGTGCTGAGACCTAGTGGGGAAAGGCAAGGAGGAGAGATTAGGTGGAACTCATGAAAGTCTTTAAGGCTGCAGAAGTCTGAGTCTCCAAGGTAGCTAACCCTTCAGTATCTACAAACATGCACATGGTTTGTCATCAGTCCCTGGGAGAAATGACCAGAAGGACAAGGGGTGTGAGTATTTGCATGAACCTATGATTTTACTGTTGTGCTGCTCCAGTGTCTGGACATAGACTACAATGGGGGAGCAGAGTGGTAACTACACATTCCAGATTCAGTGGCTCAACTAATTCTCTTATCTGTAAGAATGCCTTGTCAAGGGTAATTGGCCACAACTAGTATACCCTTGATCTTGCTATCACCCACAAATGTACCTCTTCCATGTTCATGAACTCTGAAATTCCCTTGTCTGTTGCCATTCCACCTTTCACTCTCCCTCACAACCCCAACCCCATTTTTCAGCCTCCATAACGTCCAATCCCTCCAACCCTCACTTCTTTCCCAGGCTATCACACCTGAACTAGCTATACTCTTGTCCTTCTCTATCTTGATCCCTTGGTGAACCCATTCTATATTGTTCTCATCTCTCAAGTCCTTTTGACCCCTTTTCCTATCACCAATCTTGCCCTATCAAACCTAAACCCTGTATTACTTTCACTATTCAGGACATTGACTCCTGCTCACTTGAGGCTGAATGGAGCTGGAGAAAAATCACAAAATCTTGTTGACTGAGTCCACTACAAATTTAGTTTACATTATCTCAATTGGGCCCTCACTGTAGCAAGGCAATTCTTTTATACCTCCCTAATTAATTTACTATTCCATTCACCACAACAACTTCTCCAAACCTCCTCACACCTCTTATGGCTCCCCCTGCCCTACCCTCTCAAGTAAGAGTCTTGCCTCATATTTCATTGAAAAAATGAAGGCCATTTGCCAAGAGCTCCCTCCTTTCACCTTCTTTTCTCACATCATCTGGATGCCTTTTATCACTATCTCCTCTTCCACTCCTATCTCACACGAGAATGCCTTGTCCTTGCCAAGGCAAACCCTTTACATGTACAAATGATCTCATTCTATCCAATCTCCTCCACCAGAGTGCCCCCTTTATCATCCTCAGTCTCTCATTTATCTTCAATCTTTCCCTGTCTACTGGCTGCTTCCCTATTTCCCACGTCACCTCCATCCTCAAAAACCCTCACTTGATCCATCAATCCCTGATAACGTACGGTATTTGTCTTCTCTTTTGTGATTAAATTTCTTGAAAGGGCTGAATGACACCTTCATTTCCTTTCCTCTTACTTTCTTCTTACCTCTCTACAGTCTGGCTTCCAACCTTATAGGTCTCCCTAAAGTTACAAATGATCTCTTAACTGCAAAATCTAATGCCCTTTCTTAATCTTTGTTCTTTTTGATCTCTCTTCAGCAACAGTTGATCACCCTTGTTTCCTTTATATTCTCTTCTCTTGAAGTTTCCATCACACTACTCTGCCTGGTTTTCTTTCTATCTGACTGCTCCTCAGCCTCCTTTCCTGGATTTTCATCCAAGTCACGCTCACTAAATGTATGTCCCATGGAGTTCTTTCCTGAGCCCTCTTCTTATATCCTTCTATACCATTTCACTTGGTGATCTCATCAGCTTCCATGGAGTCAATTATTATCCATCTCCCTGCTGATGATTTTCAGATCCACATATTCGGTACTAATCTCTCAACTCTCATCTCTAAATGCCCATTAGACATCCAGTTCAACATGTCCAGATCTCAATTCATTATCTTGCCCTCCAACCTTTTATCCCTTTCCCAAACTCCCCTATTATAGTCCTTCAGCATTCCAAGACACCACCACCCTCCCAGTCACCCAGGCTTAAAACTTAGGTGTCATCCAAATCCTTACTCTCACTCCCCATATCAAATGTGTTGCCAAGTCTTATCAATTTTACTTCTATATCATTGTTCACTCACAAAATAAGTCCCATTCTTTCCTCTGAAAATGCCATTATACTGGTTTCAGATTTTATCGCCTCATACCAACTATTATAGTACCCTGGTGATTGGTTTCCCTAACACAAGTCTCTCCCCACTCTTGGCTATCTTTTGATCTTCCTAAAGCACAAATCTAACCATACCACCCCCCTCTTAAATAAATTCCATTGGCTCTCTATCACTTTCAGGATAAAATATAAAATCCTTAATTGGACATTCACAGTCCTTCATAACCTGGCCCACTCTTACCTTCCAGTATACTTACACCTCATTTACCTCCATGTACTCTGTGATCCAGTTACGCTGGCCTCCTTGCTACTGCTCACACAAGACACTCCATCTCCTGACTTTGGGCATTTGCACTTGTTCCAATCCTCATACCTGGAATTCCCTTCCTCCTCATCTCTATTTCCTGACCTTCCTGGTCTCCTTTAAATCCTATCTAAAATCCTGCAGTCTACAAAAAGCCTTCCCTAACTAGTGCCTTCCCTTTGTAAATTATCCCCAATTTGTCCTCTATATAGCTCATCTGTACATAGTGGTTTGCACCTTGTCTCCCCCTTAGATTGTAAAGTCCTTGAGAGCAGGAACTATCTTTTGCCTTTCTTTGTATCCCCAGGACTTAGCACAGTGCCTGGCACATAGAAAGTACTTATTAAATGCTTATCAATTGACTGATGGAATGTTGTTAAACTCTAGCAGGGGGAAGAAGGTTCATAAAATCACAGTTATAGAATTTTCAGAACCAGGAAGATTCTTCCGAGATCATCAGGTCAAACCTCTTCAATGTACACAAGAAAAAATGAAGCGCAGAGAGGTGGTTTGCCCAAACTAATCAGTAGCACAGCCAAATCAAGAATCTAATTTTCCTGATTTTGAGGTTAGAGTTTTTAAAAACATATTATTATTAAACTATGATATTCCCCTAGTTGTGTAGTCAAGTAAAAGCTATGTTCTTCTTTAGTCTTTGGAGTAAAGCTATTATCTGAAATTTCACTGGTGTGGGTGTTACATTCATCAAGGAAGATTTTTTTTTTTTGCTTTTTGGTGAGGCAATCACGGTTATGTGACTTATCCAGGGTCACACTCCTAGTAAATGTTATGTGTCTGAGACCAAATCTGAACTCAGGTCCTCCTGACTCCAAGACCAGAGCTCTATCCACTACACCATCTAGCTGCCCCCATCAATGCAGATCTTAATCATTCCTCCATCATCAGGAGTTACTGTGGCCAAAAAAAAAAGTATCACCTGGTGACAAATCTGGTAATAAACTTTTTTAAACTTTGCTAGCTTGTCCACAGGATCACAGACACGTAAGTCCATGGGACCACATGTGAAGTTTTTCTAGCTTGGTGAGAAGTACAAAAGATTTTGTGTTCCACTAGTCAAACCTTGGAGAACTCAGAGTTACTTCCACACCCTGACAGAGAAACAAGAGCAAATGAAGACAAAAGAGAAGGACTTGGGTGGAAAGAGGACACACACATGCACACCATCTTTTTGGATTAAGCCAAGTAATTTTATCAATATAGAGAACCTCTAGTGTGGAAATTCCCTTTATCAATGCAAATAGATAGGTAACTCATCTATAATTTATAGTTTTACAGTTACCTGGAGCACTGAGACATTAAGTGACTTGCCTATGGTCACACAGCTAGTCAGTGTCAAAGTCAAGAGTTTTAAATCCAGGTCTTCCCAACTCCAAGGCTGATCCTTTATCATATACACACAGAGTGACAAAACTTCTGATTTTATCATTTGCATATCAAAGAAAATTCTTATTTGGCTAATTAAATATGACACTAGCCTCCTTGTTGCTCCTGAACAAGATACTCCCTGTCTTCCAAGCCTGCCTGACATTTCCATTACTGTTTCTCATGCTTGGAATGTTCTCCCTCCACATGTCTATCTACTGGGTCTCCTGATTTCCTTCAAGTCCCAACTAGAATCCCATCTTCTACAAGAAGCCTTTCGTGATCCCTCTGTTGATTATTTCCAAATTATTCTATATAGATCTCCTTTGTAAATAGTTTTTTTTTTTTTAATGTTGTCTCCCCCAGTAAATTGTGAGTTCCTTTGGAGTGGGGGCTGTCTTTTGCCTTTCTTTGTGCTAAGAAAGTGCTTAGCAGAGCGCCTGGTACATAGGAAGCACTCAGTAAATGCTTACTGACTTTCAAGAATTAGAGCTATGCCTTTGGGTCTCTGTCTTCTTTCACAGTATGACTAATATGGTAGGGGGGAAAAAAAAGAATTAGACTGGACAGAGACCAACCGTAAAAACTCAAAGGGGGAGGATGACCAAGTACAAAAGGAGTGGGGAGGGGGGGAAGGGTTATAATAACAATAACAGCAACAGTAGCAGCTAAGGTTCACAGAGCCCTAATTTTTAAAAATTTCACATATATCATCTCAGAGGCAGGAAGGAGGTGAAGGGGAGTAAGAGGCATGGGATACTCTAGGGGGAGCTGGAGATTGAAAGGTTTAGAAAAAAAGATGAAGGGGAGGGGTTCCCGGGGAGGGCACAGAAACCCACCTGGCGGAGAGAAAGAGAAGAGGTGCGGAAGGGACACCCAGGGAGAAGCACAGAAGCAAAGCCCGGAGGTTGGGGTGGGGGTGTTCGGGTGCAGGGGGACGCTGGCAAGCACCTGGAGTAGGGAGAGGGGAAGAAGAAGGTCGCTCCATTGGGGAGGGGGGTGGAGGAGCTCGCTCCCCAGCCCCAGGCGCGGCCCGCCGCGGGGAGGGGGAGGGGGGGAACGGTTAAGTCTTTGCCTCCCGAAAGGCAGCAGGAGCCGTGCCCAGGAGAGCGGCCAGCTGGGCGGACTCACTCGAGACGGTCATGGGCGCCAGGGAGGAGGCGGAGGACGCAGGCAAGGGGTAATCCTGAGACCACTGAGACGACCCCCAGCCGCCCTCGGCGACACTGTCGTTTCTCTCTTCGCTATTGGTTTCCAGCTTTCAGTCTCCAACTCCCCCTAGCCGGGAATCTGGTAGGGACGGGTAACCTCGGGAACGGGTAAACCTTCGTGGGGTTGCGTCACTTCCGCTTCCGGGAATTCGGCTAGCTCTTCCTGCACCCCCTCCCCCGCTCTCTCACACTTATACCCACCCCGCCCAGCCGCGCCCTCGTGCCCCGGGGGCCGAGAGGCCTTTCCTTCGGGAGGCTGAGTGAGGAGGAGCTTTCCCCGACGGGCAGCCGCTCGCTCGGCCTCCACACTGTCACTTCATCCGCACTGATTATCGTGGCGGGGCAGCCTTTCACAGCTCCTCTCTCGTCCCGAGACGCTGGTTGTGTGAACAGCGCCGACGTTGGGACGGCCTGGACTGCCTTCGGTGTAGGTGCCCGGCCTGGCCGGGGCTGCTCGGCGTGGCGGGGGCTGGCGCTCGGCCCGTTCCGTAGCTGTGTGATCTCGGGCAAGGCGCCGCCGCCCTCCCCGATATAACGTGGTTGTAACACCCCGCGGAGGGGAGGGAGGGAGGAAGGAAGAAACAGAGAGAAAAGTGGAAAAGAAGAGAGGGAGGAAAGAAGAAAGGATTGACCGCCGAATTTGGAGTCAGCCAGAAAACAATCGCTTCCCTGTTCCTGGCTTACAGACTTGAGCAAGTCTCACACTTTTTTGGGCCTCAGTTTCCTTATCTGAAAAGGGGAGGTGTTGATTAGGCTAGATGTTCTCCAAAATCCATTTCTGCTCAAAATTTTAGTAACAACCAGCATTTATAAAGCACTCAGAAGTTTGCAAAGCTCTTTACATGTTTGATTTCCTTTGATTCAGTGCTAGAGAGCTTATGTGACTTGTCCCCCAGAGTTTCACGTGCTAGTGTCTGAGGCAGGATTCAAACCAAGGTCCTTCTGGCTCTAAATAATCCATTGTTATCACCAGCCCTGCCTACCTGTCAAACCTGTTGTGAGGCTCAGATGAGGTAATGGTGGCAAAAGCCCTTTATAATAGAAGCCTATACAAAATTGAGGTGGCATTAGATGATAGAGATTATAGGATTTAGGGCTGTTGCTTGCCCAAGGTCACAGCTATTTATTTTAGTGTATGCCTTACATACATAGTGTATGCTGCAGCTAGATGGCTCAGTGGATAGAGCTCAGGACTTGGAGCCAGGAAGTTATTCAGTGATTTCAGTCACATCCAACTCTCTGTGACCCAATTTGGGATTTTCTTGGCAATGATACTGGAGTGGTTTGCCATTTCGATTCTCCAGCTCATTTTTACAGATGTGAAACTGAGGAAACAGAGTTAAGTGACTCACCCAGGGAGACACAGCTAGTAAGTGTCTGAGTGCCATGCCTGGAGTCAGGAAGACTCATCTTCCGAGTTCAAACCTAGCCTCAGACACTTACTAGCTGTGTGACCCTGGGTGAGTCACTTAATCTCTGTCTTAATCCACCCGAGAAGGAGATGGCAAACCACTCCTACCTCTTTGCCAAGAAAACCCAATGGACAGCATGGTCCACGGGGTCAGGAAGAATCAGACACAAACAACTGTACAGTGCCATGCATATGGTTATCTTCTTTTGTGATCTTCTGGTACAAGATCCTAAGCACTGTATGGAGAGACCATGTCATAGGAGCATAAATTTAGAGTTGGAAGGGATGACCAAATCCTTCATTGTACTAAAATTTTTCTTGCATTCCCTACTTCCCACAGTACCAGACACATAGTAATAATATAGCTAGGATTTATGTGGCACTTTAAAATTTGCAAAGCACTTTACGTGTCATCTAATTTGATCCTCACAATCCTATGCTAGATTAGATATTATATATTATTCCCATTTTGCATATGAGGAAACGAGCCGAAAAGTAAGTGACTTGCCCAGGATCACACAACTAAATGTCTGAGGCAGGTTTTGAAATAGTAGTTTCTACTTAACAGATAATTGAATTATTAGGAGTCAGCTAGTCAGGGGGACCTTCAGTTCATATCTGGCCTTAGATTACTTGGTTGTGTGACCAAGTCATTTAACCTCTGTTTGCCCATTTCCTCGTTTGCAAAATGGGAATGATAATAGCACCTCCCTCCTAGGCTTATTGTGATGATAAAATGAGATAATATTTGTAAAGTGCTTTGAAAACCTGCAAGTGTTATAAAAACACTATTAGGCACTGTAGACCTATGAAGATAATGATATTCTGATTTTGGCTTTGCCATCATTTATTGGTGATTCTGGCAAGTCACTTCAGTAAACCTGTTTTTCCTTTCTTTAAAAGCAGGATCTAGGTGACCTATAATAACCCTTCCAGAACTAAAAATTCTATTTGCTGTAGGCAGAATAAAGGGGAAGGAGAGCTGAGAACATGAGTGTTGGGAATTAGTATAACTGGACTTCATTTTTATAGAAGTGAAGATAGCAGTGTGGAGTTACCGGAAGGATAGATATGAGACCAGACTGTGCAGCATAGAAAGCCAGGCAGAGATGTTTTGATTTGTTTTCAGTAAGAAATAGGGAACCAGTAGAACTCTTTAACAGGAATGACATTAATTATGGCAGCAATATTTAAGGAAATGAATCTAACAACAGTATGCAGAATAGTTTGGAGTGGAATCAGGAGTCCACAGAGCCGCAACAGCTTTTCTTATAGTAATCCACATATGAAGGGTTAAAGGGCCTAGAAGCAGTAGAAATATAGTGGAAGAGATATTTGATAAGAAAAAAAATGTTATGATTGAGTAGCTGACTCGATTTGAGAAAGAAGGAGAAGTCAAACATGGCCCTAAGTTTCAAGGTGACACGTGAAACTTTTACCTCTTCAATTGGAATTTTGAGTACCCCCACTCCTGCCCTACCCTCACACTATTTCCTATTGTCTACCCAACACTTGGAGCACAAGTTCAGATGTGATCTCACTTACTAGCTACGTGACCCTAGGTAAGTCACTTAACCCTGTTTGCCTCAGTTTCCTCATCTGTAAGGGCCAGAGAAGGAAATCCAGTATCTTTGCCAAGAAAGCCTCAAATAGGGTCATACAGAATTGGACACAAAAACAACTGAACACCCATCACTTACCAAGTAGACATTATTCAAAAATGTATTAGCAGAGTAAGAAACAACTTTTGTTTCTAACTTGAAAATTCAGGCAATATTAACTCACCTACTTTAGCATTGACATATATTAGAAAAATTCTTTAAACAGTTTTTACCACCAGCCTGTTTTAATAAGGGCAGTTACTTAATTATACATAGTTCAGCAGTTCTAATTGAACATCATCCCAGTTTGTCTAGATTGACACTCAACACAAGTCAATTTTGATGCAAGCCATGAGATAACAAATTCTCAATGTCACTGAACTAGTATTTACTTAACACTTTGCTATTAAAAAATCTTTGAGGCTTTATGGCATGGTGGTTAGTGTTGACTCAGAGTCTGGAAGACCCAAGTCCAGTTAATACTTCGGACTCTTAATAGCTGTGACTCTAAGGCAACGAACTTTTTAAGCCTGTTTCCTTAGATACAAAATAGGGTTGGACTAGATGGCCTCCAAGATTCCTTTTAGTTCTATATCTGCCACTCAACATTCCACCACCCCCCCCAACCCTCCAACAAAATACCCACCTAATGACACAAGGTATCATTGAGGTCTCAAAAGCCTATGCAAGGAGAGGTCTGACAAGATCTATCAAACCGGAAGGGCTTCAGGTACTAGCCTAATGATGGACAGTTCTTTCTTACCATCTATTTACTTAAATGAACATTAAATTATATCCCTCTCCCTAGAATGTATCCCCAGTAGCTAGTACAGAGTAGCACCAGTACCAATTTGACCACAACGTAATGAATTTTTCAAGTGCTGCAACTAAAACCATCTGCTAATTTATGGAGCAGGAGTTCTTAAACACTTTTGTGTGATGGCCCCCTTTGGCAGTCTGATAGCTATGGATACCATTCAATTATATAGGAAATTGATTGTACTGAAAATTATCAATTCTTTTTTTTCACCTCGGTTAAAAACCCTTTTAGGAAGGGAGGGAGGAAAGGATTCAGTCCACGTTGGTGAAAGTGGTACTCCAGAATGACAGATCATTTTAGGTATTCAAGTATGCTTTTTCTATTTAATTGCTATTTTTTCTTTGTACAGTAAGTTTTCCAACTAGGGCTAGATTAGATTGGTATGACAGAAAACATTGAACTACAACTAGGAGACCTGTATTGTAAGTCTAGGTTTCGCTATTAGGAGTATGACCTTGAACTATGAACTTGATTAAACTCTGAGCTTGTTTCCTCACTTGGAAGAGGAAGAAATCTGATAGAGGTCTTATATACAAAGATATATAGAAAGTTAACACAAACATATAATTGGGAGCCATCTTCTAATAGGGTCAAAAGATATAAATAGTTAATTAAAAATAATTAAAAACCACATGAAAAAATATTCATTACAAATTAAAACGATTCTAAGATCTGACCTCACATTAGTCAGTTGGCAAAGGTTGCCACATACCACTGAGACTGGAACAGTTAAGAGTACTAGGTATAACCTGAAAGATCCCTTCAGATTGTAAATTATAGGCTAGCAATTTGTGAGTTGCTTTGGATTAGTGCTTAATATGGGTAATTAATACAGCAACATTAAATTGTAAACTTAAAAGTCCCAACAGTGACATTGGACTATGTCACCTAACTTCTCAAAACCCAGGCAACTAAGACTATATATTGCAGAGAATGTGCCAAACTATATTAGTAGAGCAAATTTTTCAGCTCTCTTCACAGAAGAAATCACAGATGTGATCCTAAAGGAAAAACTTTCCTCAAACCTTTGAAACCAGTTTTTAAACCAAACTTTAAAGGATGGTTAAATGTATAAATAATGGCTTTTTAATTCCAGGTTTATAACAGTACACTAAGAAATTAAGAACTAGCTGTCATTCAGGCTTAGCTAGTCTTGCTCATTAAAAAGACAAAAAAACTATGGATAACAGACAAATCTCTACCTTTGTTAAAATTAGAATATTTGAACAAGGTCCTTTTCTAGTAAAGTGATCTATAGTAAGGTTTCTTTATAATATTTGAGATCAAAAGG